TCAAGATATAATCATATATAATTACATTTTAAATGCGTGCTGCTTAGTGCAAATAAAATGTTCATCATTTAAAAATGATTACATCTTGATAAAAACTATATTCGAGAATTAAATTTATACGTAGCATTTACCGCTATGTTTTATGTCTGAAGGTCTTAAATGTTTGTCTGTAGAATGTTAATGTAAATAATGATGAGTGTTATGAAGTTAATATTATTAAAATACAACGGATAAAGAGTCGTTGTAACGTTCATCGATAATCACTGACCCATCGTCTTATATGACGCATTAGTACGTCAATAGTCGGCAACGCATTGATTTTATATGACGTCGCTGTACGTCAATGTGATTACTAGATTCATAGATTTTATGTGTATACTTCCACTACGCAACGACATTTAGTGGTGACTATACTTTTTCTCCGTCTCAATTATAGACATTATGATATAGGAAATGAATAATCGGTTAAATTACAGTTAATGGTGCATGTTGTTGAATTTGGCCAATATAATAACATGTCAATAATCGGCAAGTCTTTGACTATAATTATACTGGACAATTAGAGTTACGTCCAAGACGTAAAGAAAATTACCGTCCATTTAATCAGTATCATCAGACGCGAGTAAATCCGCCGTTTAGCTTAATAGGTATCATTAATCGAAGAATCTGCGATCGGAGAAGATCGTGTCGCGATCATACTTTTAAAACGTTTATGATGAAAGCTTGAAAAACGTTGCAGCGAGTAAGGGCGTGAATACCGGTTATTCTGCAGGTAATTTTTCCTGGTAGTCACGGCAATTACAACAAGATTCGCGCTACCGTTCTCGCGCGTTAAAAGCGCCGTTTTGATCATGTGCGCGCTTTTCGCGTAAAATTACCGCGTAACGGAAAAGGCGAGCTATGAGAAAACGTGATCGCGTGCGCGAGCGCGTCCCGCAGGTCTAGGGGTTAGGAGGTCGAGCTCCTTGTCGTTTTACCGTTCATGTCCGGGAGAACTACCCAGCGCATTCCCCGACGGAGTTGCTGTTATCGTTATTATTATTGTTGACCTCAACTGCGTCGCATCGACTAGCTCCGTTAATATGACTGATTGCAAGAATGATGCGATTTAAACTTGATAATAGCACGATAAATTCCTGTTATCATTGCCAATTTTGATTCTTGCTAATATTAATATTTTCATTAAAATAGTCATTATTCTTTTCATTTTTAATCGTGAATTTTGCTTTTTTTTCCAAAATATTAGTGTCCATAATGCAACATATTATTGAAAGTTAAAATAATTAATTTTTTAATTTACAATTATTTTTAAATTTAAGAAATTTAATTGTGAAAAAATTTTGTGAATGCAAATTTTAAGTCAACTTAAATTAAGTTATTTTTTTTTAATCTATGTTATAAAAATATTATTGTCAAAAATTTCTTTTTATTTCTAACGGAAAAATACATCTCTACAAATCTTATTAATTTAAAAAATTTGAACATGTAAGAATATTAAGATCCGTTATAATGAGCTCATATAATCGCAAATGTTTAATCGCTACCAAGGAAAAAAAACACTACTATTGCGTGCATTTTTCAATTTACAACTAGTTTGTATACTAGATAATGAATCTCTTTTAATATACTTAAATTATGATGTACTATAAAACGTGTGATAAAATTTTTTTTATTCTTTCCGCGCGGTAACATTGAAAAATATATTTTAATCAATCACACCTGTTAATCCAGCATGACTGTCTGTCGCTCAAGATTTGTCTTTAACGAGCTTACTCAGTGCTTTACGTGGCAATAATACATATCCGACAACGAAGCCCTGCATTGCGCAAATCGCGACCATAGCATGTCTCGACTTTTTTTATGTAGAAGTATAAATAGCATTATTTTTTAAACATATTTGTGAAAAATGCATTTTTTATTATCATATAAAATCGCGCAAGCTTTGTAAACAACACAATTTTGATCGTTTATTTATCCTACTTAACATATAGTTTTTCTCTAAAAGATTTACAAAAAAGTCTACAAAAGTTTAAAACTCTCTCTCTCTCTCTCTCTCTCTCTCTCTCTCTCTCTCTCTCTCGTCTTGTTCCTTTAAATAAAAAAAAATAAATATATAAAAATATGTAGAAATATTTCATACAAAATAAATAATTTTACATCTTTTTCTTTTTCTTTCTTTTCTTCAAGTTCAAAAAAATCGGATGTAAAAGTTCTTCACAATATTTGAACTTTCGATTCTTGATAATAAAAAATCTCCCAAATTCTAAATCCATGTGTTGAGACCCCTTAATTTTCTCAAAACTTTACACAGAACAGAACGAAGCACAAGATTTCCTTTTTTTTACTTACAGCACGCTGACAGAACTCTCAAAGGAATTTTTTTAATTTCACCGCCTCTGAAAACCGTTAAAAGGAAAATTTGCCACATTTGTCGAGAGCGAGGAAAATTTACCACCGCAAATACATCGCGAGCGCGTGACTCTTTCAGCCCTCACCAACATTTTCTAAGTTACAGACCACACGTCCGCTCGTCCTTTTTCTTCCCCCAACGTTCGACGGCTATCCCCGTTCGCGCGTACGCGCGT